TTCTTAATAAAAAAAATTAATTTTATGTTTAAATATCGTTTAAAAATTAGTTTAATTATTTGAACATAATTAATTTTCAATATATGAGTTGCCAATACCACTAGAGGAAATTAATTTAGCATTTGAGTGTTAAAATCGGGATTTAGCATTTGGTGCAGAAGGAATCGATCCCCCCTTGAGGGAACCGATTCCCTTTGAAGGGAACCGATTCCCCCACAGGGGAATCGATACCCCCCTGGGGTTCTGTTAAAATCGGGCAAGAACACCCAAAACCCCAAAATCGCAAAATCTATTCCGCCGTTTCTCACCCTCAAACACTCAAATCTCCATTCTTGCCTCAAATCATTGATTTTAATCGAAAATCACTTCAAATATCATCTCCTACACTTGCAATCATCATTAAAATCGTTGCAACAACATCTAAAAAAAAAATTTGTAGTTTTTCAAATCATTGTGTTTTGATTAAATTATGTTGTTATGAAAACTATAAATATATTGTTTCTCAAAACCATATTAAAAAAAAAAAAGTTTTTCAAAAACTTTGCCCATTAAGATTGATTTAGAGAACCTTGAAATATAGAGGACTCAATTGAGTTTTGGGATTAATTGAATTGTATACATTTGTTTTTAAAATTGCAGGTTATCCAATCTATTCTGATTTCCTTCACCATGTCTAATCCTAAACGTGCTAGGTCTTCATCTAGTCTCCAAATCCTCCACCTATTCCAATTTCTAATCCTAATCCCATCTATTCTAATTTCTAATCCTAATCCTATTGATCCTAATTTGACTATCCAAAATTCGTGTTTCAATCATCATGGTTTTAGAAATCATCGTTTTTGGTATTATCAATATTTCAACTCTTATAAAATCCGGGAAGAACGTATTCCTTCTCGTCAAGCTATGTTAGCTATCAATTTTAAATATCTTCCTTTTTTACAAGAGTGAAAATTTGATAAACTCTTTGACCTTGAACCCATCGTTTACCATCAACTTGTTCGTATTTTCTATTCTAATGCTGTTTGTGTTAAAGACCAAACTGAAACCGAAACCGAAACCGAAACAATAGGAATTCGTTCCTACCTTCTAGGACAATTCTTATATATTGACTCGGCTTACATAGCCAATACATTCGGATTAGATAATGAAGGGATTTCAAATGAAAAACAGGTTTTATGATCTCGTTATAAAAGAAGGGATAGTGCAAGTGTCCTAGACTTTCATGAACGTTTTCTTCATCTAATGATTTCTTGGTAGTTTCGACCATCTGGAGGTCGTTATTCTACTCTTAGAGCCTTAGATCTTTGGTGGTTACATTGTTTCGAAAACAATATTAAAATCAACCTATCTCAGATTATTTTTGCTGAAATTGTTGAAACCGTAAATCTTGTTCTTAATAAAAAACTTTGTTCATCTCTTGTTTACGGTTGTATTTTGAGTAATCTGTTTTCCAAAGCTGGGCTTAGAGTCGGTCTAGATGCCGTTTTTCCTCTTAAGAAACAAATTAACCTTCTTTCCTTAACGAGAGCGGGATGGATTAAGGATAAGGAAACCGGGGAATGGGTTCGATCTTCTGCAACTACTCCGGGAGCTAGTTTTTCACAAGCTCCACCCGAAGCTGACGAAGATCTCGAGCTTGAGCAATTAATGCGAGACATTGACGAAGCTAAAGATGAACCTGAGCAGCCGGAGGAGCAGCCCGAAGAGCAAGCACAACAATCGACTCAAATGCCTCTATATTTTCAATCCTTTATGGAGACATTTGATTATCGATATGCGACCATGGATTCGCGCTTTAATGCTATAGAGTCCCATTTATCCACAATGGGAGCTCAACAATTAGAGATTCTCCGAGAGATGCGAACAAACAACGCTTCAATGAATGAACGTATTGATGCACTCTCACACGAGATGGCCGCTATGCGAGCTCGTTTTCCTCCTCCCGATCTTCCTACGGATGTTTGATTCTATATTTTGCTTTGAACTCCAAACTTATTGTTTTAACATTTTGAATATTTTTGGAATGTTTGAATTTGTGGATTGTGAATTTGTTTGGATTTATGGATGGTGTGAACTTATATGTTTAGTGTGATTTATTCATTATTGCATCATTTACATCATTATTAGCAATATGACCAATTTTGCTATATCACATTGTTTATGAATATTGATTATGGAACTAATGGCTAACGTTTCTCTTGATTGTGATCTTAGTAGCTTATGCATACATATACCTAATCAACTGGCTAAATGATTTACACGTTTCTTTGAATCTTTTTGATTTAACAAAAAGGGGGAGAAGTGTGTGTTTTTAAAAAAATGATAAATGGGAGAAGTGTTAAAGTAAGGGGGAGTAATCTCAAAACTTGATTTCAAAATCTTAAAATTACTAAAATGTTTTGTTATATCAAAAGAGAGAGATTGTTGAAACATTTTGATATTTCGATAACAAATTAAGTTAAATGAATTTTAAGATTTTCCAAATGATTTTCTAAGTATATTCGATATAATTATTCGAATATCAAAACATTATTCAAAATATTTCAAAAATCATTTTTAATCCTTACTTAAGTGTAAAATTAAGTTTTAATCTTAAAACAATTTCAAAATAATCTTTCAAAGTATTTCGAACCATTTCAAAGTCAAAAATTCCAGATTGCTCCCCCCTGAACGGTTTGGCTCCGAGATTTTCAGAATGCTCGGAGGGAACCGATTCCCCCATAAGGGGTACCGATTCCCCCCTGTTCAACGGTCGAAATATTTGAATTTTACACTTAGGGAACCGATTCCCCATAGGGGGTACCGATTCTCCCCACGCTCCAAACTGTTTTATTAATTGTTTTCACACTAAAACGGCTATATGATCTTCACTAATCATCCCCAACGTTTAGAAGTGATTCAAGGTGTATTTAAACAAGTTCTGAAGCCCTTGATCAACAAAAAATCATAGAGAAACAAGAGAGAAAGCATCAAACATCAAGTTTGTGCAAATCAAGCCAATTTTCCTTTCAATATTCATTTTGCTTTCAAGAACACCATTTGTGCTCATTTGTAATTATCTTTGAGTGTTCTTTTCCTGTTCTAGAATTGTGCAAACATCTTACCTTGTGACGTTTTCCTTGTAAGTCTGCAAATTTGTAATCTTCTCTTTGGGAAAATAGTGTTCTCAAGAATTGGGGTATATTCTTGAGGGTGTTGTAAGGTTATCTCTTTGGCCTCAAAAGAAAGAACAAATTAGTGAATTTGTTGGAAAATCCTTAGTGTGGATAGCTAAGGTAGTGGACGTAGACTTTGATTGAGAAAGTCGAACCACTCTAAATCGCTGTGCAAATCTTTACAATTTTCTGCAAAAGCTTCCATCGAATTTTTAATTACCAATTCACCCCCTCTTGGTTAATTCCGTCGATCGATTAACTCAACAAATGGTTTACTGATAGTTCCATAATTCTTTATAAATCTCCTGTAATATCCTGTCAATCCCAAAAATCCTCGCAAAGATTTTAAAGATTTAGGAATAGGCCAATTCCTCATAGCTTCCACCTTAGTAGGATCAATTGAAACTCCAGCAGCTGATATAATATGACGCAAATACTCTACCTGAGTCTGTCCAAAGAAACATTTGGACATCTTGGCAGGCATTAGTAAGCCCAAAAGGCATTACCTTGAATTCATAATGACCCTGATGAATTCTGAAAGCTGTCTTGTAAATATCCTCAGCTTTAATTCTGATTTGCCAATAACCAGACCTGAGATCAATCTTAGAAAAGTAAACTGCTCCATGTAATTCATCTAAGAGATCCTCCACAACAGGAATAGGAAACTTGTCCTTCATAGTCATACTATTTAACTTTCTGTAATCAACACAGAATCTCCAAATCCCATCATTCTTCTTTATAAGAAGACAAGGAGAAGCAAAAAGACTTTTGCTAGGTTGAATAATAGAAGAAGAGAGCATGGTAGCTATCTGTTTTTCCACTTCCTCCTTCTGATTATGTGGAAATCTGTAAGGTCTTAAATTTATAGGAGCAGACTCAGGTTTTAAAGGAATTGCATGATCATGATTCCTTATAGGTGGTAGACCTGTAGGTTCATCAAAAACAGACTGATATTTGTCTAAGAGGGGTTGTAGAGTTGCAGGAACAGTCTTAGAATCCTCATACATAGATAACAGTACCATATGGCCAAAAATAGCAGAATCAGAGGCTGTCATTTTTAATAGTGTAGCCCCTGAAATTTGTTACAAAACATTTGAGGTTTGCTGGCCATGTATAACAATGTTTTCATCTTGGTGGACAAAACTGAGAGTCAATTTGTTGAAGTCCATCAAAATTGGACTGAATAACTTCATCCAGTCAACCCCTAACACCATATCACTGCCACCCAATTTTAGGAGTCTAAAGTCATGAACAAAAGAATGTCCTTGCATCTGCCATTCAACCTTATTACACCTAGCTGAACTATAAAGTTGCTGTCCATTAGCCACTGTAATAGCTAAAGGATAAGGTGTATTTACTAGAATACCAGCATCAGCCCACTGAGGTGTTAGGAAACTGTGGGTACTACCACTGTCAATCAAAATATTCAATGGTCTCCCTTGAATAGTGCCCTGAATCCTTAATGTATTATGGCCAATACACCCAGTGATAGCATTCATTGAGATAGTTTAAGGAATCCTTGTTTCACCAGCGCTGTCAATTCTTCCATCTGCTTCTGCAACCCAGCTAAGTCTTCTGCCATATTCTGATTTTTCTTGGGCATTCCACCAACTTGCCAGAATCCGAGGCTCTAATACCAATTTGTGATGAATTGAGATAGTTTAAGGAATTAGAGAAGAAAGCGTAGAGAAAAGAGTAGAATGGAGATACAGAAATAAGATTTCATTCAAAAATATGCCTGATTGCCTTTACACAGTACGTTGTTTTATTTGTTTACAAGGTACCAACAAATCTAACTAAATGTTAGCTGTAGATTCCTGCATAACCGCTTTGTTATTTCTTCAGGTATTGGGCCCCCAACTGGGCTGACTGCTTGCTCTTGGACTCAGCTCTCCTGATGGGTAATTCTCTCTTTGTGCTTCTCACGTGATCATTAATCAGGTAACTCATCCCCAATTCATTATCAATCCCTAACCCTTGATTTTCATTTCCCCCAATTTCCTCTTCGTCTCCTTTGCTTCTTCTCTCTTCTCTCTCGATCGTGACACACAAGTAAAAAGCATCTTAATTTTGAATCTGAGCAAAGCAAGAAATTAGATATATCACAGTGTTCTAATAGTGCAAACTCAGCTGTAACAAGCTGGTCTTGCTCAAAAAAATTATGCCAGGAGGTTAATAATGCAGGAATTGAGAGTTGTGGTGGAGTTTCTGCTTTAGGTAGCTTTCCCGAAAGATTTAGTCTGGCAGAGACAGATGACTTGAATGGGAGTGTCAAGCGAATGAAGTTTTCGGCGGCTGAAGTTTCTTGGGGTAAAGCAGAAAGGCGAACGATTTTGAATGCACCATTGCGGCAGAACACAATTATTACTGGTTTGTCTTCAACACCTATGGATTCTATTTGCCAAACAGTTATGGTCCCTTTAGTTGAATCATCTGCTAAGGGGGTTACATCTAGTTGCTGTCTGTTGAAGCGGCATGTGGGAAAGGGCAGAGGTAAAGCTACAGCTTCACCTGTTTTGCAGGAGAGTTTTGCATCAAAGCTTGTGGTTTCTAGTCCGGCCACTGGCATGGAGAAGTTCGAGTCTCCTTTATATGCGGAGGAAAAACTTAGTGGATTTCAATCATCTGGAGCGGAGGGTTGTATTTTTCTGGGGCACTGGGCTCTAAGAAGGATCCTCGTCCTCTTCTTCAGCGACCTGTTTTTCACATACTAAAACAGGCTGGTCTATTGAGAGACTGCAGGACTTATGTGGAACCAGTTTATAGATCACCTGAGGGGAGGCTATTTCGTGAATTCCCTAATGTTTGGAGGTTTTTTGGCCAGGTTCAGTTGGTTGATAGGCACATGGATAATTATGGTAAGAAATGGACTGATATTGATCAGTTCTGGTCTGATCTATTAGATATGTTGACGAGCATTGAGAAAGAATTTAACCAATCTCATACATTGGCCCATTATTGGACTATATTAGACCCCTTTGTAAATGTTGTATTCGTTAACAGGAAGATTGGTTCATTAAGAAAGGGAGATGAGGTTAAAGCAACGAGCAGTTAGCTATTCAAAAGAACAAGAAAACTGATGCTGTTTTAGCACGGAGAAAAAACATTACTAAAACAAAAGTTCTGTTCTCAGGGTCATATGCCAACTCAGCTTTGTGATTATTCTCTGGCTGCTGAAAGCTCATTGACAGCTTCTGTGAGGAGTTACGATACCTGTAACGGGCTATCTGGCAATGGAAGTTTGTCAAAATTCTATGATAAAACGAGTAGTCATTGGATAAAAAGGTTATTCCAATCTATATTAATATATTTTAGGTAAATAATTTCTTACAGTTTAATTAATTAAACTTTTTAAAAAGTATTGATGGTTTAAATATTATAAAATATAAAAGTCGAATGATATTTTTTAACTATATTTTTTTTTATAAAAAATCATTTATATTTCTATTTTTTATTTTAAGTTTTAATCTTCGAATTTCTATTTTTCGTTAAATTATATAAACTGAAAAAAATGATAAACTCATTGAATTGATATCAATTACTTTTATTTTACTTTTTTAATATGAATATTAATTGTTTTTGTTGAATTTAATAAAAAACAAAAACCGAGGGCTATAATAGAGGATAAACATCATTAAGTAGAAAAATAAATTATTTACTTAATTCACAAATTGTTGAAAATAAAATATTTACTTAATTCACAAATTGTAAATTACTGTTACGACGGTAAACCTCTGTTAGAATTTTGAATATTTTCTCGCTGTTGAAGAGTTAAGACTGAGCACACATTTATCAAAAACATTCTTTCAACATAAACGCATTTGTATGTTTTTTTCAAAGAAAAAATTTGAAAAAAAAGCGTACCCAAATCTGCATCCGAATACGTCGGACAGAGATGAGTAAACTGAATTTGAAATAACCATATTCGAGAATAAATTAATCCCTTAGTTCATCACTTGGGAATTTCACAATAACAATGTGTATTATCATACAAGTTCAGAGACTGCTTCCAACCCCGATAATGACTTCAACAGGTACCAACTGGAAGCTTTTTGCAAATATCAAACTCTTTCAAACATCATTCGTCTAAATTTCGTTATGAAATTGACATTGAGCAGCTTACAATGTTATTTTATGAGGGAAGACGATTCCACAGGTCTTCATGCACCGCTCGCATATAAGCGGGTCCATTCCTTAGCTGCAAAAAAAAAATTGAATCAAGTAACAGTATCATAAGAATAATAGTGAATCATCCTTGAGCCGATCCTGATTATCTAAGACTGTAACTATAGATTTTACCTGTCTCAACGGCTTCTGCCTCATTTGACTTCCAGTGCTTAGCAATATTTTCAGAAAGCGGATCATCGGGATTTGGAGCACTCAAAAGTGCCTGGATGCTGAAGTAACACTATTTTGTCAGTTTAGTATATCCTAAAACTCAAGACAATGCCATAAATAAAGATAACGTCTACAATCCAGACACAAATGAAACCACGCCTAGAGTATTAATACGCATTTTCTGTTTGAAAAAACAAATAAGCCTTCCCATAACCAAAAAATAAAAATAAAAAACCCTACATAAATAGGCAGTGCAGGAAAGCAATATTCAACTTCCCTGTTTACTTGTAAGACCTAATTTTCCCGGCAACATGAAAATGTGTTATAAATATGTTTCAGCAGGCATTATACAGTCAAGACCATGTGACCTATACTTGAAAAAACAAATAAGCCTTCCCATAACCAAAAAATTAAAATAAAAAACCCTACATAAATAGGCAGTGCAGGAAAGCAATATTCAACTTCCCTGTTTACTTGTAAGACCTAATTTTCCCGGCAACATGAAAATGTGTTATAAATATGTTTCAGCAGGCATTATACAGTCAAGACCATGTGACCTATACTGGTTTACTGTTTACGACAGAGATACATCTTACAAAGACTAATAATACCTCAAAAGTACAGTTCGGATCTGGAGTGCTGGACTCCATTTGTCTTTGAGAATGTCAAGGCATATTCTCCCAAGCTGCAAGAATGTTTAAACCTTAGAGCCAAAAGGTTACATCTTTCACACCATATAATAAGGACAAAAGAAGGAACAGGTGCCAACCTTATCAATGTTAGGATGGTATATCTTTGTAAGAAATCGAACCTGTTACAAAAATTTGGTTAAGGTGGACAAAAATGCAAAGTAAACCAAAAAGGATGCCATTCATGGATGCTAGAAAGCTTCTGCGAATAGAGAACAATAAATTGAAGCTGAATTCCAACCACTGTCAGTTGGCAATTCTATGAATATACCACATTCATGAATCACCAGTGCAAGAGAAGCAAATGGTAAGTTGCAATTCACTGCGTTAACAGAAGGACATAAATGAAGTGGCTACAAATTATAAAAGATACTGGGGGTAGAGAGCATTCAAAAATATTTTTTTAATTTACCACATATCAAGAAAGAATAAGCAGATTTACTAGAGCAAAACCTCACAAGCCAAAGGCAATTAACTACATTCCAAAATCACCAAGTAAGAAACAGATTTCTCTATAATGCAAACCGAAGCATTCTAAATCATATTAAGATTTCTCAGATGAAGCCAATTAATACCATATGCAAGAATCAACAATCCACCTTACAAACGATAGATGCAGAAACATGAATTCCTGCTAGTTTTACGAATGAGTTAAAGTCATACCTTGGGAGCAGCCATGGGATATTCTTCAGGCAAAAATAGTTCCAACTTGAAAACCCCTCCTAAAATCTCAAACAGGAAAAGGTGTCATTTCCTATACATAAGTGCGACATTAATTACATAATGTAACCAACGAAAGAAAAAGAGATGCTACAAACAACATTCCTAACTGGACTAAGCACCGCATAAGACAGAAAAACATGCTAATTTAACCTAAGCTTCAAGACTGAAAACACTGGGCCATTTTTTCCTTCAAAAAGATGGAAAACAAGCAAGAAAATAAGAAAAATGACACAGGAAAACCATTTTATAAAAAACTTTCCAAGTTTAACCATAGTTCTTACAGAAATCATTTTAATGATAAAAGATAATCTGCATTGGTACCCCTCTTTACGATTTTAACCAGCCCAGTCCAACAATTATCCAATCAACTGTAAAATTTTACAAATTCCAACACAAATAAAAAATATTTGCAACAATGAGATGAAAATATCAACTACCTTCGTATGGAGACTGTGTGGGACCAAGGATCATCACATTGAAATATCGCATATTATCCTCTGAAGGTGAAGCACTAATTCCCGGTGCTATCATAATAAAAAAGAATTAAAAAAAACTCTTAATAAAAAGTCAACTTATTAATCAAAACTCAACAATAATTTCTATTTAAAACAGTAAAGAAAAAGCAAAGTAATTACCCGGTTCACTTAGGAGACGCTGTGTTTCCTGTTAAGATCAAAATGAAGAAACCATAATTAAAGTACGAAAAATAAACAAAATTCTCACAAAGGAAATGCTTTCTTCAATCTCAGAAAACGATCTTGGAACAATTAGCAGAGGACTTTGATTCATCAAAGCCCTAAAAACTTCAGTTACCAACCAAACTCTAGAAACGCAGAAAATTAGAAACGAAAACAAAAGAATTGAGATAGAGAAATAGGGTAGATCAAGAAGGATCGTATGAAAGATCGAAATAGTAACCTTGATGATTCTTCGAGGAAGATTACTATTGGCCATTTGCGAGCCTCGATTGATGAATGAACAGGGAAAGGAAAACAGATATAGGGAAATAAGGTTTGGAGAATTGAGAGATGGAGAGAGAAGATTCGAGAATAAAAGCAGAGTCAAGAAGAAATGACTCTCTTAACGTGTTTTAGGCAGTCTCTATTATTATTTTTAGAGTAAACTACACATTTAATACCTGAACTATTATTTTTATTCCGTTTTAATACTCAAATTTTATTAATTTTTAAAATCATACTTACCGTCTAGTTTATGTTTTAATTTGATAACACACCCTAAAAAATTAATATAACCACTGCATGACATTTTGTATTTTTTTTTATGATGAGATGATATTATCTTATGATGACACGTCAATATCAACATTAAGTTTTTGACGCAGTAAATGTTAGATATGATTTTGAAAAAAAATATAAGTAGCAAAATGAAACAAAAATAATAGTTTATATATTAAATGTGTAGTTTATCCTTATTTTTAATGCTAAACTGCTTATTTAGTCAACCAATTATCTTATTTCAATTTTGATCTTTCAACTATTAATTTTTTTAAATCATACGTAACGTTATGTTTAATTTTTATTTTAATCAATTATTATTAGGTTTGATCGTTGACTTAACGAAAATGATAACATGAAATGATATAATAATAATTTTAGTCCTCAAAACTCATTCTGTAAAGTTGGTTTTAGTTTGAAATAATTCAAAAAAAAATCCCCAATTGTTGGAAATCTTTCACTTTGGTCTAACCTAAAATCCCAAAATTCATCTCCCAAATCCCGATTGTTGTCATCTGCGTTTGCCGAGCTGCCACCTTCATGACACTATGTCAGTCGCACATCCCTCTTTAACCCCTTACAACATGACGGCAAGTGAATGATTGTAAGATTGTTTGTGTCTGAATGTCGTCGCACACCTCGTACTAGGTTTTCGACAAACGATTAAAAGCTGGGGCTAGTAGACGTCGAGCAGCCGTGAGAGCGACAGATGGGGGGAGAGAAAATCAATGAGAACGACGGAAGGATGGTGTCTAAAGGGTGTGTATGTTTTGCAGAAGAACAATGATAGTGGCGGATGGGTAGAGATGTTGTTACGACGACGACGGTAAGCAAATCTGCGATGGGAGTCTGGGAGAGGCCATTGTCTTTGAATATACTTATATCCAAATTATACTCGTGTTTGATATTCGTACCAGCCTAAGTAACATACTCAAGTAACAAAGTTTGCATACAACACAAATTAACATATCCAATTCTCATAATCTTATAACTGAAATGTACATAATCTAAGAGGCAAGTATCAAAACTAATTATTTTTCGTTCGCAAAATAAAATATTCTATTTGGATTGATACGGGCCAATTTCTAATATTCAATAAAACCATTTTCATTGTGCAAATCAAGAATCCAGTAAGACAAGTGACTAATTTCCATTGATCAACTACATGAGATGCTTACATTCCAAATGATTTTTTACTGCAGTTGTTTCTCACTTTATCATGAAGAATGGTGTAGTTTGAGCTGCTTACATCCCTAGTGTAGCAAGATTTACGGCCATCATACTTGTACATTTGGTGAATATTTCCATCTCCATTGACAACCAGGTTATCCTTCACAACCATGAACCCTTTTCCCTTCTGCAGATTCTTCACTTTATCTTTAACCCTCTTTTCATTGAATCCCAACGTGATATTAGCTACAGTCAATGAAGTTCCATTTCCTTGGTTGCTATAATCAGAGTGTATCTTGAACAGAAACCTCTTGAGTGATTTCTTCGATTTCGGATTAGACCCTGTCTTTTTAGTATGAACTTTGTCATCGAAATGGATCTTTTGGTTCACAATCTGCAGATTTCCATCCTTGGTCATCACCATAGAGTTTTTATAACTTAGTTTTTGGGTTGATTTTGTTGTGATTTTCCCATAGCTTGATTTGATCCAGCCAGTTGAGGATATGGATCTAGTTGCTTTTGTAACAAATTTTCCATTCAAACCATGAAATTCTGTCACAGAAGAAACACCAAGTGGAGCATTTTTATGGTGCAGAAGCTTCCCTTTGGTCTTTGAGCTTTTGCAGTCTAACCAAAGGTGCAAATTTGCATCAATATACCACACATTCAAGGCATTTGTGACACTGAAACTTATAATGTGTGATTTCCCATCCAATAATTTACCTAAAAATGGGGTTATTTCAATGTCATAAGTTGGGAGATCAAATGAACCAATGGCACTAATGGGTCTCCACAAGAGAGGAATGATTCCACCTGTGTAAACCACAGTAAAGGGCCAGATAGCACCAATAAGTTCACCATCTACACTCACCAAAACTTCCCTAAATGGTCCATTTCCAGGAAAATCTGTGAGATTATTAGCAACAATATACTCACTTGGAGGATTTCCATACCAAAACTCATCTTGCTCATGGAAAGAAGCATAGACTTCCAACACAGCCTTATAAACATTCCGAGGAATTTCGAAGTTCTTCCCTTTTACATCAGTAGCATTCTCAATCTCAAACCACAATCCATCATTCAATGGCAAATCCCTGGAAAAGGGTATGATTAAATCAGCCTTGGATCGAATCCCAGACCCTAAATCTCCTTCTTTTTCCTTGAAAAGATTCTGTTTTTCTTCTGCAGGGTAAAAATGAAGACTTATATTGACACGGTAAACACCGGTATAAGTTTCGTCGATAAGATTTCCGACATAGACAGAAAAAGGCTGAGTCTTGTTCATCAGAAGCAATGATGAATATCTAGTTACATCCTTCTGGACACTCCAAACAATCCCAGTAGATCTAGGCTCAGCTGTGCAGCTCCTCAGAAGCTCCACTCCAGACAACCAAACTCCGAAAATCCTATCGAATTGCCTTCCTTTACATGTTGCATTCCATTCCAGGACAATCCTAGAGAAATCTCGAAATGGACAGTTAGATGGGAAGGTGTAGTTTGCTATAACAGGAGATTTGCCGTAAGTGTAGCCAAAGTCATGTTGTAGAACAGTGAGGGAACATGGCTTGGTGTTCGGGACATCGATTGGCTTGGTGACTTCGAAAAAGAGGGTTGGTGGTGCAATGGTGGCAACGGTAGATGATTGTTGGGGGAGACGGGTTGATTTCAGGAGGGTTTTGGATTGGTGGAGATTTGCTCGGCTGAAAAGAGGGTTGAGAAACAGAAGGGGAAGCAAGAAGAGAAAAGGGAAGATGGAGGAAGCCATTGATGGTGACTGGCGGGGAGAAGAAACTGTTGGTTTGAAGATTTTTTTGAAGGAAAAAAAAGAGAAATTAAGCTAAGAAATAAATCAGGTCCAGCAGGATGATCCTACAAAAGATTACATTCACATGTTGGCAGAAAATATTAGTTAAAATGGTGTAGTATTTCACTCCTTTCATACATAAAATTGGCATGATTAATTCATATATATATATATATATAAAGATCATTTCCATAATTGTTTTCAGATCTTATTATACTAAAAATATATATGATTTCAATGATATTACATCTGTAATCATAAAAAAAGTATATAAAAAATAATATTACATCTGCATTTTGATTTGTTTAGCTACATATACAGAGGATCCTGGAATATTAGATATGCATGAAATTTGTATATTGATATAAAGATAGGATTAGCATGAATTAAGTTACTTCAGTGATTAGAGGGATAATTGTTATTCCTAAATGTTCTAGATTTGAACATCTTATCTTGCAATACAAGGAAGGAAAGATGAGATTAGAGATGACAATTTGACTTAAAGTATGAATCTAATCTTATAGGATTGATTTTTTTTTTTTGAAATTTAGATTCAGATTAGGCTTTGTAAATGATTTTTTTAAATTCAGATTCAGATTAGGTTTTGTGAACGATGAGATCGGTTTTTGGATCGGATTTAAATGTAGAGCGAAAAATACTTGACCAGAAAATAATAGTATAATTGACCTTTATATATTTATGAATAATTGCTATAATTCTTCTCTCTATATATTCTTTTTCCTTTCAATTAAGTCCTTAGTTTATTTACTCTTTTGGTCATTCCCCTTTAATCTCACTTTAAAAATCTCATTTTAAGGCGACTTGAGTCCAATTCTCTCTCGATTAGGCCCATATCTTGTCCACCAAATCTAATCACTCTCTAATCGATTCATAAACATCTTGAGTCAACATAGATGTTGACTCAAAAATTCTAGTCGTTACAACTCTACACTCCTTAAAAAAAAAGTTGTCCTCCAAATTTACATGAATCAAAGAGATATATACTGAAATTGCAGACTCCTCTCACTCTTATGTAACGTCTTCGACTCTATGATTCCTTCACAAGACTTATACTAGGGAAATCCTTTTATTCCAAAGTCTTTGATATCTTTGGTTAGGATATTCAATGTTTCCTTCTCAAAAGACAAGTTAGAATTTACCTTAATATGCTCAACTGAAATAATGTACAAAAGACCTGAACGATATCTTCTAAGTATCGAAACATAAAACATATTACAGATGCACTGTATATCTAGTGGCAATGTCAATCAATAAGATCCTCTCTAAGACCTCACATGGTCCAATTCATTCAAAGACTCAATTTCTCTTTATGACCAAACCACAATATTTTCTTCTAAGTTGATACCTTAAAGAAGATCTATCGCGCACTAAAAACTATATATCTTTACACTTTAAATTTGTGTATGACTTCTATCGATCGAAAGTTACCCTAGATCTATCTCGAATCAATCATACTTATTTTTTGATCTCTCAAATTAAATCAGGTCCAATTAATTTTTTCTCACTAAGTTCGAACCAACACAACGAAGTCTTGCACTTACGATCATACAATGCATTAAATGGGACCATCTAAATATTTGAGTGGAAGTTATTGTTGTAGGCAAATTCAACCAACATAATATTTTTTTTAAACAAAAGCTCATAAAGAATAGTTCAGTTTACAAATCCAACTATTTATATAATACCGTAGTTTAATTTATGCCACTAATGTCTATGATCTACTCACCTGGTTCGACTCATTTAAAAACTTCATTTTAATCTTCTTTAGTTCTGCAACAACTTCTTTCATGCCGATCCTCTCCTCTGGCAGTTCATGTGAACATTCAAGCGCCAATTGCAAAGCGGATAATGCACAAGTAATGCCTGCTTTATCTCCCTCATTGCTTACCAAATTGGTATCTACAACTTCCATTACTGCATATGGTAGCAACTCCTTCACCCAGTTTCTTATGCTCAATTCTCCGACGAACATTTCTCCGGTCGGTTTCTTTCTCGTGAATGTTTCCATAAGAAGAATGCCGAAACTGTAGACATCGCCTTTTGTGGAAACAATTCCGTCACCTCCGTATTCTACATGTCAGTTCATTTATATTAGTTAGACTCTTTGTTTGAATGATAAAATATGACTCGTTAACTCAACTAACTCGAAACGATAGAAATCACCTGGTGCCATATATCCAATTGTTGCAAGTGTTATGGTTTGGATGACCGAGTCCTCTTGACCTAGCAACTTGGCAATGCCGAAATCACCCAAATGTGCAGCCATATCTTCATCTAATAGAACATTACTGGGTTTTAAATCACAATGCACTACCGGAATTGTCTGACCATGATGAAGGTATTCAAGAGCAGATGCGATGTCGATCATTACGTTCAACCTTTGCAACATGTCAAGAAAATAGTTGTGAGAATATAACCATTTCTCGAGGCTTCCATTAGGCACGAATTCGAGCACCAAGGCTTTAAAATCAAGGTTGCTACAACTACTTATGATCTTGAGCAGATTTCGATGGCGTATGTTGCGTAAAACCTCGCACTCAACCTCGAAGCTCTTGAATGCTCCTTCTAACTCCAAATTGAAGACTTTGACAGCAACGTTCAGTCTGTCTAGAAGAGTACCTTGATATACCGATCCGAAACTCCCGACACCGAGTAATTTGCTTTCGCAGAATCCATTCGTCGCCTGATGAAGTTCATGGTACGGAATCCGTCTCCACTCTGCTAAAGCATCCGAATTCCCTCCATCAATAGGCAGCTTTGCCTTCCTTTTTCTCCATCGTAAAACAAGGGAAATTAAGGCTAGTATCAATAGCGTTGAGCCAGTGGGCAATAGGATACATAATAAAAGCTTGGTAGCTTTATTAGAAGATAGCTTCGTCTTGCATGCTGGAAGTTGCAGTCGAGTGTCACCGCCGCATAACTCTTCGTTCCCGATACACAATTGAATTGAGAAGTTGGAAAAGGGTCCTCGGAGGGGAATTTCTCCATGTAATCGATTGAATGAGACATTGAAATATTCAAGATCCAAGAGTCCCTCCAAGGACTTGGGAATAGTTCCTGAAAAGTTATTCCTCGAAAGATCTAACAAATGCAATCCTCTTAGGCCTCCAATTAACTCGGGTATAGAACCTTGCAATCTATTACGGGCTAAAGAAAGATAAGCCACATCCTCAAGTTCACCAATGCTACTCGGGATCTCGCCGGATAATCGATTTTCCGACAAATCGATTGTATTAATGACCTTCCAGTTTCCGATATCGATCGGGAGAGCTCCGGTTAGAGAATTGGAAGATACGTTCAGTTGCAAAACGTATATAAGCCTTGTCAATGTTGAGGGTATTGAGTTAACAAAGTTATTGGATGCTAAGTAGAGATTTCTAAGCGAAACGAGATCGCCCAAGCATGCAGGTAAGGATCCTGTCAGATTGTTACCCGTTAGATACAAGAAACCCAAACTCCTCAAATGGCATAACTCGTAGGGGATGGTTCCTTCCAACTTGTTAACTTGAAGAGAGAGACTTTGCAACTTTCTTAATCTTCCGATTGTATTGGGAATGGACCCAACAAGCTCATTGTTGGCAAGGTTGAAGTTTATCAAGTTTCTAAGGTTGCCGATTTCTGCAGGAATGCTGCCTCTGATATTGGAGCCATAACCAATGAAATTCTCAAGAGAAACCGAGAGGTTTCCCAGTGAAACCAGGAAGCTACTACCAGCACCATCACTGATGTATGGGGTTTGCTCAAAAGCCAAGAATCTCAAGTCCTTGCAGTTTGCCAGTGATGATAAAAAAGATGATGATGATTCTCCGGTGAAATTGTTCGTCCCGATAATTAGCGATCGGAGACGTCTTAGATTGCCGATGGTAGCAGGGACACGGCCCGAAAACGAGTTCCCAGATACTTCAACTTCAATGAGATGAGAGGAGTTGAAAATGGAGGAAGGGAGTGAAGCGGTTCCCTCCAATGATAAGCCTTTCAAGCTTTGGAAGCCAACAATCTGATGGAAGAGTGCCTGACAGCCGGTTTGCAGAGATTGAAATCTCTCTCATGATAGAACTGTTAAATATTTGAGAAGGGACGAATCCGGAGATATTGTTAGATGACAAATACAAGCCATCTATGTTTTGCAAGTTGACAATCTCATCTGGGAATTCGCCTGCCATCAAAATTGTTGAACAATTCATAAACCGGAAATGTAATATCAACCTATAAAATATCACATGCCAAAATTAAAATTTATTGTAGTTTGATTTTATTTATTTTTGGACAAGAATAAAGATTCATTATAAATACTAATAATACATATATATATGAAATTTTATGTATCCTAAAATCTTATATGGTATACTATTAAAATTAGTCCTCAAATAGTTATTTTGATCTTTATTCTTTTTTGGAGCATTTTGGCTCATAACATTTTATTTTAGGATAGAAAGATTTTTAATATTTTACCAAATAGTCACTCAGGCTCTTATTTTTTTTTCTCTTAGAACATTTTGACTCTTAACGTTTCATTTTACAGTAAAAAGACTCTTATTTTGGAGTGTTAACCGTTTGTTAACTAATAGTTTTAATCTATAGAGGAGCATTTTTTACATCAAAATGAAACGTTAGGGAACAAAATACTTAAAAAATAAGGACTAAAATAATTATTTAATTAAATATATTTTTTTATATATTATAGCATCTAATATCTATACAAAAAATCACTGTAAAATACATTCTGCAAGGTAAATCTAAAAATTGACAAAGATTATAAAATGGTTACATCTAACCTTCTCATAATTTTAAGAAGACACACAAAAAAGTCGAGTATATTACCGGTCAAGTGATTATAGGAAAAGTCGAAGAATAGAAGAAGTGTTAGGTTGCCGATAGTTCGAGGAATAGGCCCCCTTAAATCACACTTCTTCAAGCTCAATTCTACTAAATTCGCAAGATTACCTATCTCTTCTGGAATTTCGCCTGCACACAAATCAAATGATAGATTGAATCATGCCAAAAAAAAGTTAATTACATTAATGATCTCCGATCATGGAGTGTTATTTCGTTGAGTCTTTCGACTATTAAAAGTTATAAATAGTCTCTCGATTATAGGATGTTACTTTGTGGAGTCCTTCAGTTATTAAAAGTTATAAAATGATCATCTAACTATTCATATGTTCCAAACTCGTCATTTTTCGTTAGAAATTTGATGGCAATCTAAGCTGAACATTAACCTGTTGATTGAGATATAATTGTCATTTGAGATTTTGAGATCAAATTTTATCATATGGTAGTCAACATGTTAATGTCCAGCTCAGACTACTGTTAATTTTTAACATAAAAGAACGATATTGAAACATATGAATAGTCAAGTGACTATTTTGTAATTTTTTAAGCAATACCATATAGTTAAGGGATTATTTTGTAATTTTTAAGAGTCAATAGACCCATAAAACAACACCCTATTGTTCGGGATCATTTGTGTACTTTACCAAAAATATAGAATTATGGATTCCAAATTTCTCTTAAAATAGTAAAAGAATTAAATAAGAAAATGCAAATATTATAAATAAAAATAATAATGTAAGAATTAAATAAGATGATACAGTTAGTATAAATACCTGTCAAGGTATTACTGGAAAAATCGAGTGCTTGTAGAAGTGTTAGGTTCCCCGTACAAGAAGGAATATCCCCTCTTAGCTGATTACCCGACAAACTTAATTCCTCCAGAGTCACAAGATTACAAATTTCTTGTGGAATTTCACCTGCAAATTATAAATTAAATTAAATTAATTTTTCTTTCTAAAAGAATTAATTCACTTCGTTCTCTATATAATTATGATAAAATGGTAAATCACACTTCATATCACTGAACTTTATGTGATGTATTATTTACATCATTAAGTTTTTTTTATTATTATAGCAATATATTTTGGTTTCGACTTCAGTTATGTCATTGGGTCGTTAAATTTTAATTGTATAATGATGCGGACAAATCTTTCTGTCACTGTAATGATATGAAAAAAATATCATTTTGGCGATTATTATTGATGCCCAAAATGACATCATTTTAGGTTTTGAAGTTTAGGGGTGTATTGATCAAAATTTATTTAAAAGTTTGACATGATAATACTCCGATCTCTTTCGATAAGCGTTCGATGAAATTAGTTTTGAAATATGTTGTTCGACTTCTCGAACAAACACCTCAAATCTAAGAAAGCCCACAGGCCCTAAAAATAATATAATTTCGTTGATTTTGAGTGAGTTTCATAGAAAATCAATCATAATATAAGAAAAATGAGAGAAATGTGTACATTTTGGTACTAATATTGTAGTAAAAGATGATTGGTGAAGGGTGGTGATTGGCTATCCACGTAGTCGGAAAAGTATAGTGCCAAACAAATAAATTATTTAAAAGTTTATTGGTAAAATCAATACACTCTTAAAATTCGGTGCCTAAAACACTTTTTAAGCATCAATAGCCACACCGAAACGATGCCGTTTTATCCTTATCATTATATCGTTTGAATTTTAACGGTCTAGTGGCATAATTAAAGTTAAAAACAAAGTTCAGTATTATAATTAAAGAAATTAAAAGTTTAGTGATATAACCGAAAGTTCAGTATTATCTAGTATAATTTATTCTATAGAAAAATGATTAAATTTTTGACATAAAAAAGAAAAAAAACAACCCTTTTTACCTTGGAGGTGGTTTGAACCGAGGTAGAGTCTCTTAATAGAAGTTAAATTTCCAATTTCCTTTGGTATGCTCCCCTCGAATTGATTAATAGATAAGGATATATCTTCAAGCTCTTGGCTCTTGAATAAGCTCATCGGAATTGTGCCAGAAAGCTGATTGTAGCTCAAATAAAGGTACCGTAGTTTCGGCAGACAATCGAACGTATCCGATGGGAGATGGCCGGTGAGGTTATTGAACGTTAAATCAATGGTTTCCAATGAAGAGTTTTTGAGCAGTGGGAGTGATGGAATGGGACCAAAGAGGCCGTTGTTGCTTAGAACAATCTCCACTAACGAAGATATGTTGAAGAGTGACCGAGGAATCGGCCCCAAAAGCTTATTATCATTCAAATACAACTGTCTCAACCTCGAAAGGTTCCCGATGGCTTCGGGAACCGGACCTTCAAGGTTGTTTTCGAACAAGAGCAGCATTTCCAACTTCGATAAAGACCATAAAGAAGACGGGATACCGCCCGTGAAGTTGTTACCGTACATTGCAAGGCTTTGAAGTCGAGTGTAGGATCCAAACCACGCCGGGATTTCCCCGTCGAAGTTGTTGTTGGTCAAGTTTATCGATACCATCCTGTGTAAATTAGACAACTCTTTAGATAACGACCCGTGAAAACCGTTGTTTCCGATGTTGAGTGTGGCGAGGAAAGATAGATTCCCGACATGCGGTGGTATCGTGCCTGAGAGATTCATGCCAGAGAGGTTCAAGGCAATGACTCTCCGGTGTCGGGATCCACAAGTTATCCCGATCCAATTGCAAACAGAGGCCGAAACAGACCAATTTGTTGCTAGATAAGAGTGAGGATCAACAACAACATGGTTTTTTAGTGCAAGAAGAGCTAACTGGTCTGAATTGAGGTTTGTGGTTGATTTCATAGACAAAATCAGCTCAAATTGAGGCAACAAAGCAACCAGCGTAAGAGCTATAAGGAAATGAGTGTTTCCCATGAGATAGAATCTAAGAAATTGAACTAATTGATCCCAGCATTGGATTTCTTCTTTCTGAATAAATTACATATGAGAATCGTCAATGCCGTGGACAATAAGTAATCATCAAAGGTCCATTGATTTCATTTAATTTTTTTTGATTATATTTCAATTTGGAAATTGTGAGGCAAATACTAGCATAGAGGTCCAAGCTTGTGAAAGGAAACCCTATAAAAAATTTATGTTGCCGCCCAAATAGGTCCAATGAAATTTATTTTCTTCATTGCATTGACTAAGTTTCTTTTTCTTCTTGCCAAGTCAAAATATAATTTTTATTAAAACCCAAAAAGGAAATTAGAAAGAAAAAAACCCATAAAAAATGCATTTAACGTTTGATTAAATAGTTACTTTGGCTCCTGGCCTTTTTTTTAGTACTTTGGCACTCAACGTTTCATTTTGAGACAAAAAGACCCATCTATGAATGAAAATCGTTAGTAAATAAACAATCAACGTTCTAAAATATGACTATTTGTTTTCCTAAAATGAAACATTGAGGGGCCAAAATGCTCTCAAAAAAGAATAAAGACCAAAATGACTATTTAATAAAAAAATTAAGGATATTTTTTAATATTATAAAAAACCTGTCATATATACGCATTAAGAGATAGGGACTCGTCATGAAAAGGAAAAGGAATGTCCTGGAGTTTATAAACGGTGGCTATGTATATCGTATCATATATATTTTTCAGAAAGAGGGTAATATTCTCATGACAAATTATATCAGAAGAACAATTTAACTATTTACGTTGAATTTTCCATTGAATGAGATTAATAAAATGAACATCACGACGATGACCGTAATATAAAAGGGATGTTACGTTTTAAGATCTTAAGCGGTAACACGATGATGTTATACATCTTATCATATTAAATAGAAAACAACTGATTAGAGCAATTGGTTGGTATTGTAGACACTTATTTTCGTCCAAATTTTTTTATATACTTATATATACATATATATTATATAGTTTGCAAATGATTTTTGAATTATATATATAACATATAGTTTTTAAAATATTTTGAAAAAATATATATAATATATAGTTTTGAAATCATTTTGAAAACATATAATATATAGTTTTAAAACATTTTTGAAAACTATATAATTTTAAAAACATTTTTTTAAAAATATGTATAATATATACGGTTTAAAATATTTTTGAACATATATGTTATATAAGTTTTTATGAAATGTTTTTATAATATATTATAATTATTATTATTTATTATATATTTTTAATTTAATTTAATTTAATTTATTTATTTCTTTTGTTTCTTCAAGGTCCGAATGAATAGGGTCCAAGTCCAGAGTCCAACATGCCCAATCGGGTAGCCTGACCCAGCAGACCCGGTTAGGCCCAAGTGCACGAGGGTTACACAACAAACTAGGGTTTCTGGAACCCAAACGATCAGCGCCGCATAGAAGGAGACCAAAAGTCATGCCAAACGGCCAACAGTCTCCGACCGAGATCCCCGGGACTGAACCATCCCGGGGTATTCGGTCAAACAACACCCACAGTCATGAGAATAACGGAACAACCCGTTGAGGACAGAACTAACAAACGGTCGGTGGTTGGTATAAATACCCCAACACAACACTGCCAATGACACACAGTATCAACGACAACAAGCCAACATCAATAATACACAAAAAATCAGCCAACTTCGAACACAATAGGCGAGAACAACACAGTAAACAGAGGAGCACGAAAAGCCAAAACCACAACCAGATCGAAACCCAAGAGCCAACACAAAAAACCATATACACAACACACAAATAAATAAATACATAAAAAGGCCGAAGCCAAGGAAAACCGAGAGCAAGCACGTCGAGGAAGCTAAAGGGTTTCACCGAAAAGTGGTAAAAATCGATCATTTTCGCTTAGATCTACGAATCTAGGGCGGTTGTTGGGTGAAGCTAACATTGTTTTCGGGTTGAAGGTGTTGAGGGCTTTCGAAAATGTATAACTTTTGGGTCTCCGGCCACTGTAGGTGGTGGCCAGAGCAATTTTTGGCGGCGATCGTCGGTGGGGTTCCATCGGAGGGGGTGGCCGATGATGGTTTGGGTTGAGAGGATTTGAGCGAGGGGAGATGCGTTTTTTATGAGAGAGGGGTGAAATAAATGTAAGTTGGATTTTTTTGGCATATATAGTGGACCCATTGGACCAACCCAACCTGAGCGGATCCCGCATGTTTTTAAAGAAATGGGGTTAATCCCCTTTCAGACCTCTCATGTTTTAATATAATTTATTTTGGCCCTTTAATTCAAGTTTAACCTTGATTTCCCTTTTAATTTTATCCTCTAATTTCGTTCTCTTTTAAATTAGACATTTTTTCATGTTTTATTTATTTTTGATATTTTATTTTTTATTTCATATATATGTTTTTTTATCATTTTTATATATGTATTTATTATTATTATTACTTACTTCTTCTTCTTTTCCTTTTCTTTTATTTTATTTTATCTTATATATATTTTTGGTTTATTTAATATTTTTTTATTTTATTTTATGATTTATTTTTACTTATTTTTTTATTTGATTATATATATATATATATTTATAGATTTTTAGCTTTATTTTCCATTTAATTTATTTAGTATTTATTTGTTTATTTCATTTCTCTAATAATTTTAACTTTGTAGATAAATTCCAACTGATCAAAGCTAAACAATTCGAATCGAATGCTTTTAAATTTTAATTTCAAATTTTTGCAATTAAGACAACCGATAAATTAATTAGTACTGAAAGAGCGGTTCAAGGGTGCTAATCCTTCCTTGACCGTAACCGACTCCCGAACCCGACACATTTCTGGTAAAATGCAAATCAGGTAAGATGGTGTCCGACCTGCCTAAATGTTTTTTAAATGGTCGGTGACGACTATAACCCAATTCATTCAAGTCGAAGCCCAATTGGGGCCTAACTGAAAGACCTTCGAGTTCGATTACATTCAGCTCAAAGGCACATTATTTGTAGCATAACTCAAGGCAATAAGGGTTATCTGTCATCAAAGACCTTCGAGTTTGATTACACTCAACTCAAAGGCACATCATTTACAGCATAACTCAAGGCTATAAGGGTTATCTGTCAACAAAGACCTTCGAGTTTGATTACACTCAGCTCAAATACACATCATTTGCAGCATAACTCAAGGCAAAAAGGGCTATATGTCATCAAAGACCTTCGAGTTCGATTACACTCAGCTCAAAGGCGCATCATTTGCGGCATAGCTCAAGGCGAGAAGGGCTATCTGCCAACAAAATACCTTCGAGTTCGATTATACTCAGCTCAAATTCATATCAAATTTACAACATAGCTCAAAGTGAGAAGGGTTATCTGTCAACAAATACCTTCAAGTTAGATTACATTCAGCTAAAGGCCATGTCAAATTTACAGTATAACTTAAGTCGAGAAAAACTATCTGTCAACAGAAACTTTCGAGTTCGGTTCCATTCAGCTCGATGATACATCAACCACGTGGTAGCATCGAGAAACTGCTTTCTGGTTGAAGTCGAGGTCTTCAAGTCAAGAAGAAGATTTGGGGTAGTCTCTTAGCTTAGTACATCATAACTCAAGGCGAGAAGGGTTATCTGTCGATGTAAACTTTCGAGTTCAATTCTATTCAGCTCGATGACGTATCAACTACTTTCTAGTCAAATTCTCACACCAAGGTCTTTAAGTCAAGAAGAAGACCAAGGTAAAGATTGTCAAGAAGCCATTTTCCTATGTACCTACGATTTCAATTTCACAACGAAGGATATTGTAGCCAAAGGATTGACCCAACTTCATGACGAATGAGTCATCTGTAACACCGAAGTCTTCAGGTCAAGTTTCATCTTCACAACGAAGTATCTTGAGCCAGAAGACGATTTAGAGGACACTTGCAAAAACTTTGAGTTCGGTTTCAACTTCGCAACGAAAGATACCGCGCTCAAAATGTCCCAGTTCAACTCAACCTCACAACGAGGGAGTCATTTCGTGATTCAATCCAAATTGACAAACCAACCTTGATATCGGATTTCAACTCTACTACAGAGGATATTCGATATGGCCGAAATTTGTGTCTTTTAATCTTTGCTCTATTTTCGTTACACGATAATAAGCAAAGAGGGGCAGCTGAAGACACTTAATTTCTCCCGCTTAAATTAATATTATTATAAATTATATATATATTTACATTTATTTTATTTTATGAACAAGTCCATTACAAAGAATATGGCCCAAAGCCATTACAAATAAAATTGGCCCAAGGAACTAGCAGCACGATCAGGTCCACTGTAGTTGCAACACGTGACCCGCTCTGGAGCGACCCGAACCTACTAGAGCAGCCCGAACCGACCCGCAACAACTAGGGTTCCAGAACCCTAGTCCACTCATCCCCAGCGCCGCAAGCTCCTTTGACCGAAGACCCCTCATTTCACGCCTGAAACGTCCGGCAACACCAACTCACCAACAACCCACGAAGATAATGAATAACAAACATCAGTGTTATAATCATATTAGGACTCTAAAAATAGATTTTTTTAGATTATAAATACATGTAACTTGAACATAGAAAAGGGAAGTATTACACACACGTTACACACGAAAATACTCAAATACGCAAGCAATATTGTCGAGATCCAAGCACGTTGTAAAGTTTTCGAAAGCAATAAAGGTAGATCTCACCTTTTTTTTCGGTTTGAGGTTTACATGCATGTGTTAGTTAGCCTTCTCGTCATTTTGATTTGAAAACCCCAAAACTATTTCGGCCAATAACCAGGAAGGGGGTGGGCTTCGAAGTTTTCGAACCTAAATCTACCCCCGAGGCATATATTTTCTTAAAAAAATTTTGATTTCTTAAAAAGAGGAGTAAAAAGCTTTCGAAATCTTTCAAAAAAAAAGAAACAAATTTTTTGCCTCCGACAAGGCGACGCAGGGTGGTCAGATTTATGGGTTCATCGAAACCCAAGTTGTGTTCAT